TCCTATACTTACATTCTCGTTCTTTGCCACATAGGCTTTATGAATACCATCTACCATAACTTTTATCACATTCTTATCATACGTATTTGAAGGCTCCAGTTCAAGAGTAATAGTATCTGATTTCTTAAATTTATGGCCACCACGAAATCTCATCCCTACCACCATAAAGGAATGAGTAACAATACAATCTGTATACAATGGTGATGATATTTCCTTACAACTACAACAAATATTGCTGGAGACAGTTATTTCGTGACTAGACATGATTAAAAACTATTATATTTTCTGTATACGAATAATATCCAAGTTCAAATAAATAATCCTATTATCCGATCCACATATCCTGCAACTGTTTACTTTTTTTACCTATACCCCATTCACGTCTAAATATCACGAACCATATAATAGCAATAATCAAGATAAGTAACATATATGTTTCTATTCCTCCTACCAAAATCTGCGGATCTGAATTTATATATGTGTCTAGCATAATATCTTTACTAGTTTCGCTATTATTAGTTTTAGATGCATTAGCAACCTCATTCCATAAGTCACTTACCTTGGATATAGGGATGACTCTATTATCATCATTGATTTTTTCAATATCTTCTAAATTTTTTTTACGTGTAAAATATGGTTTGAGACTATTGCTAGATTCACTAATTATAGATATATTAGATGTGAAAACATTCTCACTCTGTGAGTCAGACTTGACTATATTTTTTTCCTCATCTCCACCAACTATTGTAGAACAGGCTAAAGAATCTATAGATTTTGATATAGCCTCTGATTTCAAGTGATCGAGTTTGCTTCTCACATGCTCCAATTCAACTTCTATTTGTTTAAACTCACCCATTTTATATTTAAGGAATAGATTCTCAGTTTCCATTTTCGATAAGTTTTTCTAAATCGAAAATACATCTTTTTGAGCTGATGCTAACTTACCCTCCAATATCTTAATCATAGCCTGAAGTGATTTTATTTCTTTTAATTGTATATCATATCTGGTTTTATACTCATTATAGGAAATCTGTGATCGGGTAATCTGGAATATAAGGTTAGTGTTGTCTACTCTCAATCGTTTAACCTCATCTATAAGCTGGAATGCATGCTTGGAGAGTTTCTCTTTATCTTTATTGAATTGTTTTAGATTATGTTGTATACACTTATTTTCTTTATTCAAGATAGAACATTTATTAACAAGTTGATTACCACATTCTATAGCAATTTCCCAATCTTGATTTGCGCAAACAAGTTGATTTTCAAGTTCTGTTCAGCTAGATGGATATTGATTGGTGAGCATGTCTCCAAGTTTTTTGTCTTCACCTATATTTGATAATATATGAATTTGAGACATCTTATTGATATCTAAAAAATTAAATATATTTGTATTTTAAATGTGATATATTATATAGAATATACCTATATATTTGCAAAGATGTACTAGATAGAATATATATATTAGATATAATATACGTATTAAATAGAATATACGTATCAGTTATGATGTATTAGATTGAATATACATAACTATTATATAAAAAAATGAATAATATCTTGTATATTCTATTTTTCCAATACATTTTTTTATTTCGGTATATTTTATATTTTTTGTTAGATATAAACATCTTATATTTACATTTACTACTATACCTAAAGTACGTATACAGTCTGATACGCCTCTATTTTCACCCAAAGATTATTCATATATTATGCAATGTCGTGATATAAAATCAAGATATAAAATCAAGATATAAAATTTTAAATGAGTTGATGAGTAAGTATAAAATATCGACAAAACGTATTTATCAGATTTGGAGAGGAAAAAAATCTAATAGAATTCTTTGGAATCAACCTATACCTCACTTACATGATAATAATGATGACTTTAATCATGATATCAATATATCAAATCCCATTGGAAATATATTTCATATAGAGTCTCAGGTTTTAGATGAGGATAGTGCCTTATTGCAAAGCGATAATGTATTTGAAAAATGAACACGACCAAATAAACAGACAAAAACAAAGATTCGAAGCTCTACTTCCATAAATAATATATCAAAAAGAAAGATATATCTTGAAAAATTAATGAAAGATATTGATAGATTGGTACCTATAAATTCATCTTTGTCTCAGTAAGCTAAGAACATCTTCCTACAAGAACTTTACCTGTGTTTAAAGCTATATCAAGCCACTCTTCAGTTTTTATGAGTCGTTTTTCGAGTTTATCATATTTTTCACAATTCACATATTTTTTTTTAAGTTTTCCTCTCTAGTCGAGTTAGATGAGATGGTAGATACTTGAGGTGATGAATCTTGCTTCTTTTTTGGTGGATCCAATGCTTCTGGGGTCTTGCTAAAAGTTGAGATAATGTAAGACTTACCATGTAACTTCATTCGGAATTGGTTTTTATTCAGGTCAGGAATATCTTGAACTTTTCGAATCTATGTCATACCTAAACATAACATTGATTCAGGTTTGCCATTATCAATATATGTAAAATTTCCAGTAGCTGTAATAGTTTTATCATCCTTATCCTTTATACTAACTGGCACATCCATAAACCATTCCAATGATTCAGTACTATGTTTAGAGATACCTTTTATATCAAAGTCAGATGGCTTGTCAGCTTTCTATCCAAGTGCATTAATTGCTAGATTATTCATTGTTCCAAATTCACTTCCAGGATCTAAGAATGATTCAGAAATAGATAAATCGTTTATACTAGCATTCAGGTATTGTAGAGATGAAAACCACTCATCTGATTCTTCCTTCTGAACTGTATGAGACTGGCACATTTTTCGTATTACCGGTGAAAGCTTTGGAAATAACTGATTATATGTTTCGGGGTAGATAATTACTAGATCAGAAGAAGGGTTAGCAGAGTTACCAGGTAAGTTTTTATTTACTGGTACTCGTTTTTTTTTTCAGAATCGTCATCATACCATATATCATTTTCCTCATTATATCCACTATTTTCATTATTAGCTGAAAAGTTATAATTTATTGCTTGAAAAGGATAATATCATTGTGTTCGATTTGATTTGGCTACTGGTTTTTTGGATTGATTTTTGAGTATCATTTTTCCAAATTGAGATGTCATTTGTCCAATTTCGTCTACTTTTGATTCTATTCTATCCATTTTAGCGGATTGGTTTGTTCTTTGGAAAGGTTTTTTAGGATAATGTGAATCTAAATCTTCTTTACTATATATACCTAAATCGTTAAAGTATTTCGCTACATAATAATCTTCATAATCTTTATCTGTTTTTAAATTTGATGGGGGGCCTCTTGGCTGTCTAACCGGTTCAACGGTTTGTGGAACTAGTGCCTGTGTTTTCTGCACTTTTGAGGATTGAACTTCCTTTCGCAATTTTTCTATCTCAATATCATAATTGGATTTTTGTTTCGCTAATGCCTCATCAATCATTTTTTGTGTATCGGGTGATTGCGAAATTACTGGAGCTTCTATTATTTTAGGGCTATAGGAAGATTGTTGATAAACTTTACCTTCATTCAAATTTGGTGTACGTTCTAGCCACATATTCTTTAATGCAGTGAAAAATTCATCAATACCAGTTGGATTAGCAATTTTCATCCATGTATAAAGCTTACCCGGTAAATGATTTTTAAGAAATCCTAATACTTGTTCATCATTATTAGCTGTTCCTAATACTAGTGGCCGAATTCTAGTTTCATAAATATCTGGAGTATCATTTATTTGAAATTTTTCTTGAGTCAATTTTTGAATTGCAGATTGCTGACTTCCTACTGTTTCTCTTTGATATTTAGCATTTAAATATACTCGTAATATATCAGGTATATTTATAGCAGGATTACCTTGAATAAAGGGATCATTAGCTGGTACTGGAGCAAACTTACCTCCTATTTTACTTTTTAAAATATTACATTTAATGCCATCATTAAAATCTCCAGTGTTTACATTTTCAAGAGCCGTCATCTGAGGTACTGCAATAGACCATGCTTGTTCTAATGTATTTACATAATCATCAGGTGGCATTTGGCCTATATATTGTGGAATTGGTTGAAAAGATTGGTATATCAATTTTAATACTGGTCGTCGTCTAGCTTCTGCCATATTTTGTGGGTTATTTTGTAACAATAAAATTTGTCCTCGCAAATTAAAAATTAATTGCTCTGCATTTCGAGTTCTATTTTTCCACTTACCCCATTTAAGATCGAGCTGGATATCACATAAATGTAAATCATTTTTCAACGTATCTATTCTGATACGACATTGTTGTAATTCTAAAAAATACTGTTGACATGTATTTCTTTCATTGTTATATGCCATTGTCATCATGTTAAGATCATTTAAGGCATTATCCAAATCAGTTTGTCACAAATCCTGCTCTGCCTCAACATTGTATCTTGCCCATTGCTCATTGATTTGGTCAGTTTAAAGATTTGTATATTTACGACGAATCTGTCCTATAACTCTTTTTATTTGATTTTTTAGAATTTGTCTATTAGTTCCCAGATTATCTAAATATCCGTAATGGTATCTGTTAATTCTGGAATCGTTGTCATATTGGAAGTATAACTATCCTGAGAATTTTTATCTGAATCATTTCCATCTTCGGAATTTGTTTTATTATCCAAATTTCATACTTCAGCAACTTGTAAAGATTTTCAGGTATTGACAAGTTCCAATTTATCTCAATAATGTAATAATCTTATACCAAAATTTTGACAATGTAAATCAGTTATACGAGTTTTTTTCTCAGCTAATTTATTGTCTCGATCTCTAAGATTATATTTTAAAGCATCGATTTCACGTTTGAGACACTCGTTTTCATCTATTAACTTTGCTGTTTAGTTATATGCTCTAGGTATATTTCCAGCTGATTTGGATATTTCCCAAATTCTGATTTTCAACTTTTTTTCCCTTACATTAAATTCTGCTAGTTGATTTTTCCTAGTAATGAGTTCCTTGTCTTTTTGTTCGATCTCCTTTTTAAGTTTGTATACAATCTTTTTTAGGTCTCTGATCTCCCCTTCCAGCTCCTCCCTTTCTAGTATGGAAAGTTCGATTGTATTTGCTAACTTCTCCTCGAGATACCGGATTCTTTCTTCACGTAAACTATATCCTGTTCAAGGTTATAAGTTCGACACTCATATTCCCAGTTTGATTGTACCAATTGCTCGATTTCCTCATGGAGTTCCTGGTTCGTTTGTATTAATTCATCTATGACGAATTTTTGTTATTTATAATAAATCAAAGTAATGGGAGAACCCGTAATTTATATTGACCCCAGAAGGGGTTGTGAACTAGATATGGGAATTGCTTTACAAAAAATATATTATCGACCTGAGGGATACTATTGAACTGTGAAAAAAATGTATAATGCTTGTAAAGAAGCTGGTTATGATTTTTTGTTAACAGATACAAAAAATTGGCTAAATAAACAGATTACTTTTTTAGTTCACAAATCCAAGCCTAAATTTATTCAATATGCTTCTTTTAATGTGATACGCGATTTAAATGAAGTACATAAGTCAGATCTTATACCTCTTTCTCTTGATAAAATTAGAAATCGAATTTTCATACATAGAGGCATTATAAAAGATGTAGCAACTAGATTTCGTAAAAGTTGTGCTTTAACTAACAAGTCTTCTGCATCATTAGCTAAAATGTTTAAAGCAATTTATGGGAATTCTAGTAATCATCTTACATGGCCGAAAGTTTTAATTGTAAATAAAGGTACTGAATACTTAAGCGAGTGTAGGGATTTATTACTTAGTCATGACGTAAAAATTATACAAGCTAAATCTAAACGTAGCACATCAATAGCTGAACGTGATCATCAAGAATTTGAGAAATATGCTTATATTCGTCAGGATGCAGTTGACTTCTTTTTACCTTTATCTGAAAGGTGTCTATCTTGGGTTAAAGATCTTCGTAATAATGATAATATTTATAATGATACTCCTACCCAATTAATTTATATATCTCCTAATGAAGCTGTGAAGAGAGCTTTAAAAGGTGAAAAAATTATTGCAGATCCTGCAGTTAAACATCGAAGGCTTATTGGGTTTGATGAACCTCGATTAACCTATAAAGATTCTGTTTTATATTTACTCGAACCTGGAGAGTTAGAATTCGGCAGGAGACACATAACTGATATGAATTGGTCTCCCAAAGTTTATCGTATTAAGGAATTCTTAATACAAAAAAATCAACCAGTATTATACTGGCTTATGGATGAAAATGGTGATGAACCCGAGAGATCGTTTGTGAGAGAACAACTGATGAAAGTTGGAAAAGTTGAATATCCACTGAAATGGATCCTTAAACAATAATAATAAATTACTCGTCTATAAGTACATCATCAACGGCTTCCTCAATTTCTGTTTCAGTCATAGGTCGATCTTTTTTGTATAGTTTATAATAAAGATTATATAAATCTTCTATACAGATAAGTAGTTCTTTTTTACTTTGAAACCATTTTTTATATCTTGTTATTCTTTTATTATATGTTTCATCATTTGGAAAAAGTGTTATTGCGATATATTTTATATACTCATCTTGATTTTTTGCATTACGCAAATTTTTTACATAAGCAGCATATTCACTAATAAGCTTACTATCTTTTCTATATCGAAGACGAAAGGCCGCTTTTATTATTTTTATTTGTGCTGATTCAATCATTTTCCATGTAATATCTTGCATTGTTAACTTTGAGTCTTGCTCGTTTATTAAACTTGAACTATTGTCAGTCATACTTTGTATTTTGTTTTATATAATATAAGTTTTATTTAATATGAGTTTTATTATTTAATAAAAAAAATTGGTTGAGATGGACACTTTTTGTTAACAAATACCTTACTTATCTCTTAGCGTAAACTAGATTTCATCTAATATATTTTCTATGACTTGATCATTTATATATTGCTCTTTTTTATTTAACTTATTAATCTCAATTTTCAGATATTTGTTTACTAATTGATCTAAAATTTTATCTGTTATTCGTTCGCAATTTTGTATTTTTATAGTTTTTATATACGTACATTTTTTTGGTATACTTAAGATTGATTTTGGTGCTATCCGATTACTTCCATAAATAAATATATAATTTAGATTCTTGCATATATCCAATGTTATCTTTAGTGAACTATTGTTTAGGAATCTCCAACCGCAATCCTTAAATGATATAGTTATTATATCTTGACATATACTTACAATGTCTTCTAATAGAAATTCATTCATATTATAACTATCTATTCTTTCGAATTCTATCTGTTTTATATATTTTGTTACATTCGCTAATGGTTTCTTTTTTACTAATTTTACAAATTTCGTAATATTGTATATATATAATGTAATTCTTCTCCATATTAAAT